GATTGTTTCGGATGCTCAACAGATTAAGCTTTCCAAATGTGATAATATCATCAGGCAAAATAAAGAATTTTTAAGGGAGAACTCAGCGAACCCTGATTTCCAGTCATTCACTGTTGGTGAGTCACGGTTAGATGTGTTACTTTATGACAGCATGGCCAATGTTACTGAGTGGGCTGATCTGTGGGAGTTAACCAAAAATCTTCTCCTTCTATCAGATGGACAAGCGTCAGTTGAACGAGGATTTTCAATCAACAAGGAAATCTCTGTACAATGACTGTACAAACGTTGATTTCACAGAGAGTGATTAAAGACCATCTCCTGAATGTTGGAGGGGTTACCAAAGTCTCCTTAACTAAAGAGCTCCTTGTCAGTGCAAGTCATGCAAGACAGAGATACCAAGCTCACCTAGATGAAGAGAAAAGAAAGAAAGAGGAGCAGAAAAGAGGAGAGAAAAGGAAAGATACCCTTGAGGAACTGGATAACTTAAAAGAAGTAAAGAAAAGAATGAAAGACTACAACAAGGTTTATGTGTGTTTGTTTACATGTGCCTCAACTCGAGCCGTGAATCTGGAATTGACTCGAGGAATGAATGTACAAGTTTTACCTTTAGCCTTTCGCAAATTCGCCAACAGACGAGGATTACCGGCTACAATACAATCAGACAACGCGGGGTGGTTATTGGGATAGACTCATACGAAGCAATAGTATTTCAACTATTGTTTCCACATCAGCCTATTTAGTCGTTACAGTAGAACCCAGTTCTGGGTTTTTCCCAGTAAATTTGCAATTTTAAAAGCATATGTAAATCGTTTAAGTAATCAAATATGTACTGTTAACATTAGAATGGCAAAATATTTCATCATAGAGAAAAAATATTCATTTCGTAAAATAGCAATTCTCCAAAATTACTACTTAACGAAATAAATTTTAATACGGTTTTTGGAAATAAGAAGTGACCAAGATCAGGAATACACCATAATGTAATGTTTAAAAGCAAATTTTTGACCCGAAAAGAAAGACATTGTTGTTATCGAAGGATAAAAATATTCCGTTTCGTAAAATGGTATATCTCCAAAACTTACTATTATGCAAAATGTATCTAAATACGGTTTATAAAATAAAAGGAGACCAAAATATTAGTACGTCAACGGAATACAAATGGTGTGACACGAGAATGGCAATGTTACAACAGGGAAGTTTTCGTGGCCAACAGATAAGTGCCGCTGCTCGTTTTACTCTAGACTTGGCCGGTTTTTGGGTCCTCAACGAAGAGAGACTCGCACACACTCTAGTCCTAATTACTTCTCTGTTTATTTGCTAAATCAAAGTGCTTATATACATATTGGTGACTAATTTTTACGTGATTAGATATGCGAGGGAAGGCATGTAGTTTCCTTTTTAGTAAATACCTTAATTTGAACGTGAGCATAATGCTTTGTTCTACTCTCTTTACTTACGTAAATCGCGCTCTGTTAAGATCACTCTTTGCCACCGCAAGGTGAAAATAGTCCATTTCGCAAAATAGTAAGTCTTAAATTACTCTTTTGCGAAGTATATTTTAATACGGTTTAAGAAGTAAGAGGAGGCCAAAATCTTTGGTGATATTTAAATGTTCTGTTAACAATAGAATGGCAAAATTTTTCATCATGGAGAAAAAATATTCATTTCGTAAAATAGCAATTCTCCAAAATTACTACTTAACGAAATAAATTTTAATACGGTCTTTGGTGATGTTTAAATGTATTTTGTGATGTTTAAATGTATTTTCGTGGCATGAAAGAGGTCACGTTGTCACCGCAGGGTGAAAATAGTCCATTTCGCATAATAGTAACTCTTCTTAAATTACTCTTCTGCGAAATGAATAAAAATCCTTCTTGTTAAAGAACGATTACTTCAAAATCTTTGTGAGAGTTATCTTTACCTTATTAGAAAATATATCTGCATTATTCCTTTAGTTTTGTTCTAGCTCACCTGATTTCATTTCGTTTCGTTCCGCAAAATAATATAAGCCTAGCACGGGCCATTAATCGTTCTTATTTCTTTACTCGGGCCATTTTCGTTCTTTTCCCTGTTGACTCTTTTTTACCAGGGCCATCGATCATTCTGTCCATTGTGACTCTTTCTTTCGTGGGTCAAAATTCGCTCTTCAATAAAAGAGCGGTAGCTGGGGGAACGGTTTTCTGAGACTTCTCGACGCTTGGGCAGCCAATGGTACTGATTGTTGTGAAAGTTCCTTAACTTGGGCCTCCAATCGTTCTCTTTTCTGTGACTCTTCCTTAACTTGGGCCACCAACCGTTCTCTTTTCTGTGACTCTTCCTTAACTTGGGCCTCCAACCGTTCTCTTTTCTGTGACTCTTCCTTAACTTGGGCCTCCAATCGTTCTCTTTCATGTGACTGTTCCTTAACTTGGGCCACCAATTGTTCTATTTGCTGTGACTGTTCCTTGACTTGGGCCACCAATCGTTCTGTTTGCTGTGACTGTTCTTTAACTTGGGCCTCTAATCGTTCTCTTTCATGTGACTGTTCCTTAACTTGGGCCACCAATCGTTCTCTTTCCTGTGACTGTTCCTTAACTTGGGCCACCAATCGTTCTGTTTGCTGTGACTGTTCTTTAACTTGGGCCTCTAATCGTTCTCTTTCATGTGACTGTTCCTTAACTTGGGCCACCAATTGTTCTATTTGCTGTGACTGTTCCTTGACAAGGCTGACCAGATTATTAACCTGCAACTGATTGGTGTCGAAGCAATGGAGGGCTAGACTTAAGTGACGTTCAACGTGGGACCTTGAATGCAAACTGGTGTTTGATCGAGGAAACTAGAAAGATCAAAGGGATTCAAGCTGTTTTTTAAATCGATGTAACTCTCAAAGTTGTTCACTGAGGTGCATTAGTAATAGGCGTCTAAATCTAATCATTTGCCCAATGACTTACCTACGGCACCAACTCTTTTCAATGATTGACTCTGGAAAGCTGGTTTACTAACTTAGGACAGCTCCCCTCAACAGGTGTCAACTACTACCGGTACCATACAAATGACTTATTCGCTACGTTAACATTACAAACGAACCGAACAGAACAACCTAACTCTATTGACAGATCGAAACTAACTGATTATGAACGACGTCGGCCACTTATGTCTAAGAGACAATAACATCACGGCTTAACTGACCAATCGGTTTACACGACGCAGGCTCATTACGCTCGATTGAGAGCATCTATTCATTTCACTCTGATGATGACTTCCGCTCAGGTTACCTAAATCTCAGTCATTACTACCATCAACAGTCTCTCTCAGGACTACACTCACCCGCACGATCAGACTACACTATCAGAAGAGATGATTTGTCCTCTTGAAGTTTAATATTTTATACATGTTACCTCCGGGTTCAAACCATTTACCGTGTTGCAATGTAAATTAATTGTTTTTGAACTTAGGTGAGCAACCATAACCTGTGATACCTTTGATTGACAACGGTATCTGATTTTACGTCTTGTAGGCTTTTGCAGGATAACCTTTCTTGTCACAGGCTTATTGCTCGTATTTTTCCTCGCCCCATAAATATACTACGCATGTTATGGTATGGTTTACACTATTAAAGAAATGAAAAACGCGCCGAGTGCATTGTTTTTTTTTTAGCACGCAGAAATTTTTAAGGACACGAGAGAAGTGCGGAGAAGCACGAGCCGAGAGCGAGTGCTTCTTGCTCTTCTCGAGTGTTCTTAGAAATTCCCAAGGACTTATATAACTCCACAATACTCGAAGAACAAGCTTTTTTTAATTCCTCTTTAAAAAGGATCGCGAATTGCGTGTGCTCGTACCGATGACGTAAGCTGCGTGCACTATTTAACAAATAGAGAAGCCTTGACTGTGCTCTGTTCTGTTATAAGGCACGCAGGAAGCGGCTAGAGCACGAAAGAAGTGTAGGGAGAAACACGAGACGTAGTCGAGTGTTTCTCCCCACTTCTTGAGTGCTCTAGCCGCTTCCTTAGTGCTTTATAACAGAACAGAGCACAGTCAAGGCTTCTCTATTTGTTTTATAATAAAGAATCCGTTAAATTCCCCAAGAATTACTTTCAATTTTCAAAACAAACTTTATTTCCAAAGCGAACAACAGTGTCGTCAACATGCTCTATACTCTCATAGACCACGCTACGATAGGCCAATCAGAATCCCTGTTAGAATGGTTCAAATAGTCTGATTGGCTCTACAAGACAAAAGCTGTCAAAAGTGTCAAACCATCAAAGTTCAAAAACCATCAAAGTTCAAAAACCATTAAAGTTCACAATCTGAGATAGTTTACAAACTAAAATAGTTCGGCAAGTCGAATTTAACGCTTTTGCTTGAAGTTTTTAATACAGAATCCTAAAGTGAAATGCTCAGTGAACTTCAGCCGAATTATGGCTCATAAAAAACGCAAGTTTTTTCACATGACAAGGTAGAAAACAAACTGTTCAAGGCGAGTGTTTTTCAAATGAATGACAGCCGAATTCACCGGAACATGAAGATCGCTCGGAATGACAGCGTCGCAAAACTCGGCTGCAGTGAATGAAGTGACTTTCCACTCAACGCATCAGAAAGGATATCAGAGCGAGTTCTTATTTTTTCACTCGAAGGGCGGCCAATGTAGTTTCTGAGGCTTGCTTTACCGTGATGACCGGAGATCGTCATGATAAGTGAGCCGCGATGGACTTCAGCATGATCATATTTGCTCAGACACCGTCATGATTAGTATGAATTTTAACAGTTATGTCAGTTTGGTTATATTTTTCATCATTTCTGTTTTGTTCTATTTTGTTTTTGAACTCTGAACTTTATATACTATTCTAGTGTTTGCTGTGTTTGATTTTTATTACCGTACGTAAGCTTGCAATCTAACTGAGCGTGAAAATCTTTGAAACTCGGAATGTCTATTTTGTTTTTCCTTTAAGGATTTTCATATCTGCTCACGTTTTAATAACGTAAATTACGGCGCCTGGTATGTTTACAAACCTTTGTTTGGTTCTTCCGTTGCTACTTGCCGGCTCGCTTGCTCCGAAATTTCACTTTCAATTATCGGAAAAAAGCTAAAAAGAAGTCCCGGAAAAGGTCGAACATAGATTATGTGCAGATGGCGTGACAGCTTTAGCTCAGTTCTATGCTCTATACTCTCATAGAGCACGCCCTTTCAACCAATGACAGCGCGCTTTATATTCGAACTTTATTATAAATATCATTACAAAATAATTCAAATAGTACGCGCGCTCTGATTGGCCATGAAACCATTTTACATGAGCATGTAAACACGGTTTTCGTTCCTCTTTCATTAGTTATTTTATAAAAGAAATGTAAAATGGTTTCCGTGTTTACATAGCCTGATGTAAACACTTGGGAGGTTGGTAGAATACTCGATAAGCTGGAGACCACTCCGCTTCGCGTCGTGGTTTCCTACGCTTATCTCGTGTTCTCCCAACCTCCCGCGTGTTTACATCAGGCTATGTAAACATGGAAACCATTTTACATTTCTACAACAGAGCACTCGTGTGACGTAAGGCGCGTGCTTTATGGAAATACAATAAACTCGTTCTGACCAATCATGGCGCGCGCATTTCTCTGAACATCTTATAAAAGATAAATAATGTTTAGGCAAGTCCATACCATAGCATCGCATCCAAAGTTTCTGTATTCACAGTGAACTTCAGTTTCAAGACATTCATCGCGAATGTGAACCTCAAGCTATAAAAAAAAAAGCAACAACAAAAATTATTGACTGTTCGTCGACATTTTCCTGATTTTAGCAAATCTTCAAAGTAATAAACGACAGAAGAAAGAAATGCTAAGATTTTCCCACCGATTTTTCGCCTACATGCATCTCTCTAAACGTGAAATTTTTCATTCCTACAAAAAATCTCGAAAGTTTTTCACATCTTTTATCTTTCTTCATCAGTCATCTTGTATAAAGAGCTAAAAAATGTTGGTTTATTTGGTTAAGTGACCGCCTAGAGCCAGAATTGCGTGACAGGTGTAGTTGAGAGAAACTTGTCACAGTTGCAGATTTTAAAAGGCATCCAAGACAAAAATATAGTAGTTCCCAAAGATATTTTTGATTATTTTCAGAGATGAAATGATGGATTATGAAGGGGAATCAAGGTTAGTGTTGCAACTCTCTGGCAAGGGGAGATATTTGACCTCAAAGTTTTCATATATTTGGATGAATCGAATAGCCTAAAAACACAGTCATTTATTTGCCTCTGTGATAGACAAGCCGTCCATAAAATTGACTGATACTTGCGGCGAACATTAATTAAGGATGTAAAACTATGTGTGCATACCCTCAAAGTAATTGGCTAAATACCATCGCAGTGAGAGCTTCATACATTTTATCTATTTTGAAGCGCTTTCCTTGGTGAAAACCAAGAAAAACCGGGGGATGGTCTATCTCCCCCCGGAAAAAAAACCAAAACAGAAACCAATTTGTCTTTTTTAGTTTTTGGGTAGACTCTTTATACTGGCAAAGTTTTATTTAAACCGGTACGTGAGATGGCATAAAGCACGACTGCCTGGTGCTCTCGTGGACACGCTCTTAAGACTCCAGTTCTAGGAACAGCAGAACGATCTATGATCTGCAACGATATGACTCGCATGTAAACATGTTAAAAATATCTCTGGATAAACCTTAATCGTCATAGCTGAACCTAATATTCCACAGCCCTTTATCGTTAATCTCAGCCTAAAACTTCTGATAGCCTCTACATGTTTCATTGGACGATTGTCGAAATATTTGGACTTTTCCTCTTTAGAGACCAACTGAGGCACATTCTAAGTAAGCATGCTGTTTCTGATAGGAGCCGTTATGCCCGCTCATAATCGGTGTAAACAAACCTTTTCTCGTGGAATCGCTCTAAGGCCGCACTTGTTAGTGCACTGAACAGGCAACTTTTGGCAATCTTCTAAATGGTTCTGGAGAACAAAGGAGAACATGTTTAAATATGATGCTGCGTAACACCTGTACCGCGAACAAACTGCAAACTGTTTGACTTTCTGGTGAAATTGGTCCTCAACAGCAGCAGATGACTAAGGGACAGTTAATTCATTTTTAACCATAATTTATGATAAAAAAGTGCAAGAGGTTGTCAAACCTTCTCGCGACTCTCTCCTGAAATATGTTAAATTGGATAAAAACTCTCGCGAAATTTTTAGAGAAACAACCAAATTAACTTAACAAAAATATCAAATAAATAAGTTCTCTTTCTCTGGTAAATGATGGCGATCTTTCGGCATTTTCGTTGTATAAAGGGTTCCTTGCACACTTGAATTTCTCGAGATGCGCAGGGCGTAGAAAAATGATCATTGAGAATTTGCAATGCGATCAATGTCGCAAAGCTATTGATTTAATCAGAGTTGTTTTTAGCGCTCATAGAGTACTTCATTTAGCTTTGATGAATAGCTTTGATGAATAGCTAATAACACCTTTTAATCAGCAGTCTTAATGCTCAAAAGTATTAATATATTAAATGGAGAATAATACATGGGCGCGCGTAGATACGGAATTCCTCTTCGAGTGTTCAACTCGATAACTCACGAAAGAGCGCAGCGTACGAGTGAGATGTCGAGTTGAACGCGAGAAAATAAATTTCATATGTACAAGCAACTATGTATTATTTTGATTGTCACATAAACACATATAGCCCTTTGCTAACAAGAAAATCCCCGAATAAAAAACGTAAAGTGCGTTGATGCACTTTATTTTTTTTAGGTACACGGCCGAAATCGGCCTGTGACAAATCTTTCAGTTGTCGATTTTCGTTCCCGAGAAATGCCGTTACCAAAGCCACTGAACACGTAACTTTCTGTTTTTCTATTCGTATTTTGGTTTTCTTCCCCTTCTCGGAAAGTTTGAACGTCATTGTCGGCAAGCGATATGGATTTTTTTTAGTTTTTTAGCAGCCATAATGCGCAATAATTTCGTTAAACGACCTTGGATTGAGAATGGTAAAGGCTTTGACGTTCATTCATCAACCTGACCGAGTGGCGCGAAAGGCGAGCGACGTGTCAGCAGCTGATTGGCGAAATCAAAAACACGGAAAAATTATATCGTATTTTTTTACGTGTTTTGTTACAGCTTTTCTCAGAGCTGGAAATCCTTGTGTAATACCGCAGTTTATATGATAAAAAACTTTTGAACCCAGGGAACCTTCGTAGCCATATTGTCACGCATTGCCCACCTCAAGAGTTGAAGGGGAACAGGTACCTGACATCCCAAAGAATGGCTATGAGGGAAAGGGGACCTCACAACCCAAAGTAAAAGTGTGGCTGGAACATTTTCTTTTTTGAACGTTCTCATAGAAGAAGACAGTGAAATGTGTAAATATATCAATTACGTAAATTGAAGGCTGGCTCTACACTGGAAAAGATTTGCAGCTTTGGGAGAGACATTGGCATATGGAAAGTACCCTTTGGCGTGCTGACAACTTAGCAATATAATTGGGTCTAAGCAAATTTTATTGAAAGTTCATTTCATTTTTTTATATGGATGTCTACATACCCGCTTTTCATGAAAGACGAATGATTCTTGACAATGTTCACAGTTGATTTTCCTCCAAGAACATTCAAATGACTCGTGAACTATCATGTCTTCCTTGGTAAGCCTCTCTGTACATCCTGAGTTTGAACATTGCACTTCTTTCAACAGACATTCTGACTGGTGTTTCTACAAATGTAAAAGATAGAGTTTTTATAGATACTTTATAATAGGAAATAAATAATTCCTTCAAATCAACTGAAGGCCCAATTGAACTAGCCCGCCTAAATTTAAGTTTCGTTAGTTATGGTCATCACAAATTAAATTTCTGCGGCCTTGTTACTGATTTCCTTCACTTTAGTTCCGAAAAAAGTGCGAAAATCCTTATCTTAGCTTTTGAGCGTTAAAGTCTGAAAAAATTGTTTGTGTTATCTTAAAAAAATGCTGGATCTTTCCAGATGTCACGTTAACGTTCCTCATCAACACCGTCTTCGTAAAGTACGTTTGAACAGAAGTCCGCCGCTTCGATTTTATTTCAATAGACTGAAATGTTAGAATAGGATACGTAAACGGATTTTTGTTTAAGAAAAGGTCATAGATAATTAAATTTTTTTCATATCAGACACCTCGATTATACCTTAACAGCACGCAGTTCTCCAGTCCATGAACATCCAAAATGAGGACACTTCACGGTCAGATCCATTATCTCGCGACGATGGGCAGAATCTGGAAATATCTGCCAGAATAAGAATTATTTCAAATTCATATCCTAGTAATCCAAGTCCAAGTGTAATAAAGCAATGTAAGAACGGCTGATACTTTCAGTTGGCCTCATATGGGCTCCTACTTTGGCTTTTGTTTCATCTGAAATTCCCGTTATGCACTCTGGACTTGTGAACATTTATTTTAAAACATTTTCTTATGTTTCTTATGCTCATGGTACAAAAAGTTACACGATAAATCATATTTTATGTACGTATCAGCTTTTCGGGCCGCTGATTCAATGTCGAGGGACAAAAAATTACGAACTTAGAAATCGCTCAGTACATTTTCACAACATAGAGCCCCGCGACGCTGAAATCTCTTCAAAATATGATTTTTGGGGTTTTGTCTTTTGGAGGTAAAATTGTAATAGCCCTTGTTATTTTGGATTTTGAATTTTTATAACGTCACGTGAAATCGGAGATGGTGGTGGCAACTGTAAAGCATCATACGATTGAACATGCCGGTAGGCACAAAATACCAGTTCCAAAATGGCCGATATATTTCGAAATACTTCAACTATCAATACCAAATACGTTAACTATGAAGATCGTTTTTGATAATTAAACGGGAGGTTTCCTTCAAGAAACTTAAATGTGAGTGAATATTACGGAGAGTTTCTTTGGAAAAAAAATTCCAATAGAAATGGCGTGAAACGATGATAGAGATGACGTGAAGCGATGATAGAACAGACAAGAGAAAACGGGATTTGCTTCAGGCTACCTGACTATCTCCCCACATATTACACGCGGTTGCGTGACTTGTTTACATAAAAACTCTCTTACCTTCTCACGCGACAATGGTTCCCTATCTAATGGACACAATGGCGAAGGGCGTCTGTAGACAGTCAGTGAAGAGATAGAGAAATGAAATGTTTTTTTAAGTACACAATCCATAATTGTGAAAGGAAACAATAGTCGTGGTGGCATGAGTAGAATTTAATGAGTACAGTGATGGAATTTAAGTGGGAAAATAAATTATTCAAATTCAGATTATTGCTCCTTCAAGGAAATCAAAATAAAGACTTAATCTCGAACTCTGAATCTTTTTAACTCTCGCAAGAATGTATTTATTACTAGGATGAGCTGAAGATGCAATATTTAGGTTGTGGATCAATTATATTTTGTGTTTCAGATATAGTTGTTGTACAATGTAAAATGCCAGTGTAATGACCACATGCAAAATTGTATTCGACATTACCGCAAGAGTGATTCCATACAGATGTTGCAGAGTCTGTGTCCACATCCTACAATCTGAACTGGATCCTTCATTGGTAAATGGCACACAAGACATTCACATCTATCAGGAACTGTGACAGTGAACTCGTAGTCATATCCACCAAGTTCTGGTACGGTTTGACTCGCTGCCATATTGGTTTCGCAATCGACGGTCGTAAAATTTGAGGTGGGTGACGTGATATCTCCCAAACTCACTCCCAGATTCCTCTCTCTTCCTTTCTCCCGACAGAACGCACACAACATGATCTCGAGACCAAAATAACGATTATCGTTATTTCTTAATTGGCCCTGAAATAACGAATAGCATAATTTCAGTGCATTTGTGAGACCTTCAGGGAAAGATAAAATGGCGGCTTACGGCGGCGAAGGAAATCTCAGTAGTTTAATATTTTAGCGTGAAAAGGCTTGGGTGTTGTGATCTGGTTCTCAAGTAAAGTAAAAAAAAATCACGGTCTGCAATGGCACTACCACCTTTTGAACAACAAGAAAACATTGAAACGGTGGTAAAAAGCAGCAAGTTTCGAAGTCTAAACGAAAGATGGGTAAGCTGAGTTTCAGTCAAATATCATGACATTTGGGATGTAATTTCGATACCGAATAAATAGTTCTACATGGTTATACACGCATAGGATTCTGTTGTGCTCACGTGAAGGCCATTTCAGCCATTCCTGCCACTTGTAAGTGGTAGGAAATAAAAGATATGCATACTTGTTTCGTATTGAAGCCCTGTGAAATCACAAATTTGATTTATTTCTTCTTTGTTTTAGGTGGTCATTATCCGTTATTTTTGGAAGTCGATGCTGATGAGAAAGAAAAATGTTTACGATTATTTCTTCTCTCGAACATTTTACTATTTAGGTACCAAATAATCTTGATACTGAAGATCATTGCATCCTATTATGAAAAATTTACCCCTGATTGCTTTGTCAACATGTATGATGTAATATACCTTGTGATTTGTGGGATTTTCACATGTAATCTAGAAATACCTGTAGAGAGTATTATGATGTACTTAATGCAAAGTGTTTTGGTACAAAGTCTGCTTTGCTGTAATCTACTTGAAGGTGCTTTTTATATGCTTGTAACACTTGCACAGCCCAGTCAAAATGTTCTTTAGTAGTAGACAAGCTGGCTGTTGTAACTATAGGCAGCAGAGGCCTAACCTCATCCTGAAAAGCAGTCTGAAAGGTGTGAAGTCAGTGGAAGATACTTCATCGTAGGCGGCCAAATTGCAGGCTGTCAGCCCATTTTGAGTGAGTAGTTCAACTCAAGATCGGCTATTTGAACTAATTTTATTGAGAGCCAATTCCTGCAAGGCTTATATTCTGTATTAATTTGAAGTGTTACTTTTATGTTTCTTATTTTGCAGTAAGTGGGCTTGTTGTGGCCATTTTTCTCTCAAACATTTTTTTCAGCCTAGTCAAAATGTTTTTTAGAAGTAGGCAAGCTGGTTATAGTAATAGAAGGTAGAGGCCAAACCTTGTCCAGACTAGACGCCTAACAAATGTTCTGTATGGACAGCCAAATCCCTGGTTACCAGCACATTTTGACTAGGCTATTTGTTATTTAGCTACTAAGTAATCTTATTATTAAAGATTACTGCATTCCTTTTTAATAATTTGCTGCCAATTGTATGCTGTATATAGCTTATGATTTGTGTGATTTTCAAGAGTAAATTAGAAATACCTGAAGATGGTAATGATGTACTAGATAACGTACTTGATGCAAAGCAATTTTGGCACAAAGTGTATGCCTTGTCCCCAGGTGATTTTAACATGCTAATAAGATTTGTTATTCAAATAATATACATCAACTGGAATGGGAATATTGAAAGAAAAATAATAATATTTAACCATAACAAGTTTTGGTTTTATGTCCAAATTAAGCACTTAGTTGAAGATCACTGCACTGATCAGGCCCTGAAGGCCAAAAAAGTGCTGTCTGCTGTTAGTTTACTTTTTGTCATTTCTATTGATTTATTTCATTTATCAATGTTTCTTTGAGTTATAATTCATTGACCTCTTTCAATAGTGCAGGTTCGCTCATGTAACCTAATCCCACATGTATGTATGTACAATCTCAGTTGAAATTTTGAGTGGCAGGCAAGCTGGCAATAGTAATAGGCAGCAGAGGCCAAATCTTGTCCTGAATAGAAGTCTGACATGTGTGAAATTGGCAGCTATTTCATTGTAGGTGGCCAAATTGTTGGCTGCAGCACATTTTGACTTGGCTGATTGTGTGTGTTATGTATGTGTTCTTCTTTTTAGGTGTTAAACAGGTCAAAGTACCGAAAAAAAAACCTCTGTGATAACTTGGTAGTCTAAGATGTAAAAATTTTTAATAATAAGGTAAAGCTTGATCATTCTTAAGAGTTTGCATCTGTTCTAAAAGTTTTGGGGAGAGTTAGGGGAGCATTATTTATACAAATGTATTTAAAAAGTAACAAAAAAATAAAAAGAACTAGGGCAAAATCCCAATTTGCTTTAAAAGTTTATTTTATTAAGAGCATAATTCTGGATATAGCTTGGGATTTGTGTGATTTTCACAAATTGTTAGGTTGTTATGTAAACTTAATTTACAGGAACCTTGTTAATTTTCAGCTTCAAGAACAAGTAGATAATTGCAGGAAAAGCTTGAAGCTTGAAAAATTGACTGATGAAACTGGAACAGATGTCATGAGATTTGTACAATAGGTTGGACTGGGAGGGACCAAGAATTAAAGAGACACGGATTTCGTTTTTCGTGTGTTGTAAGACATTCATGTATCTATACGAAAACCACAATCAGTTTGATCGGATCTCTTTATTTTTCAGAGTTTTACGGAAATTAAATTTCACTCGAGCGAAGGCTTGTCGTGACACTTTTGAAGACTTTAATTTCATACAACTTTGGAGGACAATTTACAAAAAACTACGGAACTCAGCAAAAAAAAAATACCACAGCCATGTATATTTACTCTATCTTATCTATCGAGGCGACTTTCGTAAACATCACGTTTCAATCAAGGAAACAGGGAGACTTGAATGACACCTTATCGGTTCGCCTAAATCAAACACGCCAAAACCGATCAAATTCAAGGTAAATTTTTGAAAAAGTGAGGCGTTCTTAACTGATCCAACTAACATAGCTAGGAAGTAGGTGCCATAGAAAAGGTAACTACAGAAAAAAACTTTGCGGCCCGACCTTTACGAGAACTTTATAGCTCCGTGAACTTACCTAATTTTCGGCAATCTCCAAGTTTGGCCGCCATTTTGATGGACTTGTCAACATGAAGCGTAACCGATATAAATCAAGCAGGTAAATCTAAAACCGTCAGAAATACATACGAAAGCAATTCAAATGAACTTTACTTTCAATTCAAGCGGCAAAATTTGAAATTGTTCGTTAAACTTACCATCCCCATGCGACCATTTATTCCAACAATTCAAACACTACAACTTTCTGAATTCCCCTCGTCGATTCCACCGCAAGAAATAACCTGTGCCACCCAAGCTTCGACTCGAATATGAAGCACGAATCAAGTAACATAACTGCTTCATCTTCGCGGCAATATCACGCTGGTATTTTGATTTTCCGATCGACAAGAACGGTGATCAGGAATCGATCGGTTTGTTTACCTCATAAACGTGACCGCTGACCAGCCGCTAAGTGAAAACAGCATAGCGCGGGGTGGGGTGGTTGGCGGGCTTATCGTCATAAGATATTCGAATAAATGCTCAAAAAGCTCTAGGACTATCAGTCTAAACAGTGAAGGCATGCTTCGTGGTACAGACAACTTTTATTTTATTCTCATAACTTTCTCCTTTAAATTAGAACTGGTATTAATTAATAGAGTTATCAATATATTTTTAACCGGGTACCCATATAACCTTTTTGCTTGTCATCAGTGGTATAAAATAAAATGTCTTTTCCACCAGAACCTTTTATTTATGCCCCATTGCACGGAATGAACACTGTACTTAGAGTGTTTGCTCTAAGTAATTTTTTCTGTTCCCAAGAATGTATGCAAAGTGATAGAGATTTGAATCATTCTGAGATTTGAATCATTCTGCTGACACGTTCTTTTAAGTTATGGCGCGTGTAGGTTTTTTCTATCAAAAGTCGCGCGTGCAACACACCGGAATTGAAAATTCGTCGTAAAATCGCACGAACCTTAGAATGAGTGTAGGCAACTTTGACTTCTGGCGAGATTAAGTGGATGGTTCAAAGGACCCCCTGAGATTTTTTTCAGGACTATAACTGAGATTTGTTAATAACTATGATAATCGTCATCATTAGCGGACGGTGCTTTTTGCCCATGGTTGTCATCAGTATCGTTATCACGCCGGAAGAAGTATAAAGCCGGCATGTCGCCTTACCTAACTACACAGAAAATTGTTCTCTCTTTTGCTCCCCTTGGATCCTGGAAACTGTTGCTATTAAGACGATCAACAAGAAAGCCTTTATAATTATTGAAACTTTTGATTAACAGAATGTAGGAAAAAATCGGTGGGGAGAGTTTTT